ACACGGAAATTGTAGTTCTTTGGGTTAGCTTTCTAATCCAACTTAAATCCGCTAGATTGGATGTCGTGTGACAAAGTTATGCATGAATGAGTCACATTTTGAATTTTAGATACCTCAATACATCAAATTTATGGGCAGTATCCATTGATTCATGTATATCTTTCTCGTCCGACATCCAATTTCGGTGATTCAAGTTGGATTAGACAACTAACTCATAATACTACAAATTCTATTTTTTGAGTTTTGCAAAATTTGTAATTAAAAATGATCAAAATCACGTTTGAAGTCGTAACGGTATTATTAAAGCTCGAACGACATTTACCACATCCCTAATTTTTATCTAGGGCACAAAATCGTACTCCACGAATGCTTGAGACGTTAAATGCTTTATATATATAACATCATCACAATATTTTATCGTATAACATGTGTCGATTGTCGTAAATGTATGCAGGCAGTTGAGGTTTTATAGACCCCTCAGAATGAAGATGACACTCTATCTGAACAAGAACTTCTTGAAAATTACCCCTTACTGCGACCTCTTCAATAAGTGTGAAGTTGCGTGCATCTTCCTTTTCCATGGAGATTATTTTATCGAACCATTTTCGCAGTCGGTGTTCGACTCAAAAAGTTGCATATTGTCCATATTAGGGCAAAAAGTTTTTTTTTTTGATGTAGTAGTTACACTTTCATTATCAGTTTATATAGACATGAATAGTACTATTCTAGAGGTGTACGTTGCGCGCGTAGTTTTATCATCAACCTAGATCGAGTCGCTGACGAATCCGTTTTTAGTTATGGACGTGATTCTGGAGTTCACTACAAGAAAAAGTTGTATTAGCGACACCCCAATTCTAACAAATGCAAAAGTTGTCACTTAATGTACACATTATGTGACATTTTTTTTATTGTCACTAATAGCTTTTTTTGTTGTCACTTAATCCTTATTTATTGTCACTATAGACCATTACCGACACCCCGTTAGTGACAAACATAGTGACAACACTTTTTGCCTAACTATATGAAAAATAGGTGTTGTCACTCAGATTTTTTTTGAAGTGGTTTTAGATGCTACGAGTTCCATAGTTCGTTTGCGAAGACTTACGTTTCCTATCTAAGTCAACACTCGCACACTATTATTTACGTATCCAGGGTAAATTACATCCACCCGGGAGGTGTGGTCAAATTACGAAAAAATCTCTGTTGTTTGGATAATTACATCTACCCTCAACTATGAATCTTCTTACACCTCCACCCTTATGATGTCAAATTCAAAATAATCATCTAGATTTCGTGGAATGTGCTCTAGTTTGTACTCGTTTTGTGTAAAAATACAATTTATGATGCACCACAATCTGATATATACAAACCAAAAAACACATCTTATGATCATCTTGCTTCAGAATGTGGAGTTTTAATGGGAATAAAACGGGTACAAAAGTGATAATATTCCATATCATCTAGAAGATTCCACCAAATTTAAAACCGCAAGGGTGGATGTGTAAGAAGATTTTTAGTTGAGGAGTTGTTGTAATTACCCAAACAGAAGGGGGGTTTCGTAATATGACCTTACCTCATGGTGACTGTAACTTACCCTAATATCTCATAGCTAGGGTAGAAATTGGAACATTACATTTGAATTACGGCATTGTCGATTTAAACATTTTTTTATACTGGAATATGTTTTTTTTTAGTTCGAATTTCGAAAATTTTGATTTTTGATTTTTTCTAATAGTTTTTAATCGGAATTGGGATATATATGAAACTCTGGTTTACGATCTGGAGAGGATGATGTCATAAAGCTCAGGGGTCCGAGGGAACGACATCTTCGCTTTCGGTGCAAAGAATATAGGACGTAACAACACGAAATATCTACTCAAAGAGACAATAAGGCGACGTTAAAAGTTCATATGATTGGAGAAATTCTCCGGAAACATAACCCCAATTTAATGTTCCTTTGGGAAAAGAAAGCAACAACATCACTCCTTGTAAATAAGTTGAAGACAAAGTGGAATTTATTTCGTGTATCGGTGGATAAGTTGGGCTAGTCGAGCGGCCTGGTAATGTTTTGGCAAAAGAACACTTAGGTGGAGCTCCTTAGATTTTCAAACAATCATATTGATTTCAATGGAGCCGGACTACATTTCATCACTCGTGGGAAACGAATTGATGACCTTTTAACAGCGAAATCCATGAATTGAGAGTCTTGGCAACCGATCCGTGGAGGTAATTGCACGACAGAAGGAGCTTAAAACTGAACTTGAGAGAGCGTAAGGTGATCTTGACACGTACTAGCGACAAAGAAGTAGGGTTCAATGGATCAGAGAAGGAGACATAAACACGAGTTTCTTTCATGCTAAAGCTTCCGACAGAAAAAAAAAGAATTGGGTTCATGGGTTGAGAGATTTGGCCGGTGAGTGGCAAGAGGGAAAGGAAAATATTGAAAGAGTTATCACTGAGTATTTCGAGAACTTGTTTCAAACGAGTACTCCAGACGAGAGAGGGAGAGAGAGAAAGATGGGGTGTGCTTGAACACCTGAAAGCCAGGATCGATGGTGAGGATCGATGGTGAAGCTGCTCATCTGCTTTCCGTTCTAATGAGGTAACCCGAGCTATTTCTCAAACAAAAGAAAAACCAAATATGTTCTAAATCATAAATAAAAATGGTTACATATACTATGTTTTTCATATTTCACAAAACAAAATCTCACTCTCTATTTTCATAAATAAGAAGAAAAAAACATTGTTTTCTTCCGTAGAACCAAGTAGTCTTTCTCAAAAAAAAAAAACCAAGTAGTCAAATACTGCCATGTCACAAAACATAAATTTGAGAAATGGCAAGAAATCGGGATAATTATAGTTTTGGTCCCCCAAGTTTGCACGTTTTTCATTTTTGGTCCCCCATTTACCGTCGTCAACAAAATACACATTAATGTTGTCACATTTTAACACATTTAGTCCCTCCGTCTATTTGACCGTTAAGTAGTAACGGTCAACGACTGAATTTGTGATTTTTCTTTGAGAAAATTGCAATAAGACCCATGTATTCTTTCAAAATATTCTAAAAATCTCTAAACCTTTATCCAACCATAATATAACCCCAATTTCATCAACTAACCAATTTTAACCAATGACCCCGATTTTTCAAAATTGGGTAATCCGACCTTGACTTTCTTTATAACTCGGTTGACTCTTTTTTCGATTGATTTTTTTTGCCGCTGTTGACCGATGTTGAATGTCGGGTTAACATCGTTGATATTTTTCTCTTGATTTTTATTTTATTTTTATTTAAATTGTTGAGTAATGGAAAAATATAATTTTAAAAAAAAATCAAAGCTGATAATCGGCAAAAAAAAAAGTCAAAATAAAGAAAAAAGGAAAAAGTCAACGCATCTCAGTAACGGAAAAATTTTAAGACAAAAAAAACAAGATAAAAATTAACGGCCGGTGTTAGCCCCAAAAATCGTTTACTAGAGTGGTTATCTCATTCCAAATTACTCCGCACATGACTAATTCATCTTCTTCATATTTTTTGGGAAGAAATTTGGGATGCACTGGCGGTTCCACGAAGAATAAATTGAGAGGAGCAAATTATGGATTTTAGATTTTTTTTAAATCGTAGTTAGGCCCTAGAATTTTAGATAAAAACTTTATTTGAAGTTTGTAATTTTAATATTATGATACTAGATATTAATATAGTATTATTATTGTGTTCTACGGTAATTGTGTTGATTAGGAAAAAAAATGTCGCAATAAAAAAGTTCATAAAAAATCAAGAAAACTAAAAAAAGTCAACATTGTTAACCTAGAATATAATGTCGGTGAATGGCGTCAAAATTATATTAAATAAAAAAGTCAATGCCGAAAAAAAAAGTAAAAAAAAAAAAAAAAAAAAAAAAAAACGTCGGTCAACCGTCAGCGGAAATGCTGGTAAAAATCGGGGTCGTTTGTCAAAATTGAATAAATGATGAAATTGAGGTTAAATTATGGTTGAATAAAATATTAGGGGTTTTTAGAATATTTTAAAAGAATGCAGGGGTCTGAGTGCAATTTTTATCTATGAAAAATCCCAAATTCAGCCCTAATTCAACAGTTGACCGTTACTTCTTGACGGTCAAACAGACGGAGGGACCAAATGTGTTAAAATGTGACAACATTAGTGTGTATTTTGTTGACGGCGGTAAATGGGGGACCAAAAGTGAAAAACGTGCAAACTTGGGGGACCAAAACTGTAATTATCCCGCAAGAAATCACTTGTTCAATTACATGGCAAACCCTAAATTTATTTTGAAATAAAATTATAATTTCTAGCAAACCTCGTCATATCACCGGAGGAAGGAAAAATTATAAAAATAGAGTTAATTGCATACAACCCTCTATGAAAAGTCTAATTGTCAGAAAAACCTCTATGTTATTAGCATTTACTCTCCTATGATGGATTTTATTGAGCACACCAGCCCCTAACCAAAAAAAAATTGTTGACTATAATGAAATGACTATATTACCCATATAAAAATAAGCTACATCACCCTTTATTTTAGTAATTATTAAGAATAAAAATATATTAAAAATATATATATATAAAAAAAGAATAAAATAGTTATTTAATATTTTAACAAAACATAATGTAAAAAGTATATATACTGAATATAAAACAATAAAAAAAAAAAAAAAAAAAACACGTCATCTTCTTCAACAACACCCGTACACCCACCCCACCACCAACTCATCCGCAACGGTTTGATTCAGGTCATCTCCAACCCACATCAAATTCCACCACCTCTCTCCGTGACCAAAAATTGAAGTTTGGAGATGGACATTAGAGACAATACCTCTGTCGTCGGCGGCTCCGACGACTGCAAATCCAATTTCTAATTTTCAAAATCATTCGGAGATGTCCTCTCGACATCCACATCAAAACCAACGCTAATTTCAAGAAAAAATCTCCCCACATCGGCAGCCTATTGTTGGTGTTATGGGGACCATCTCCGTAACACCCAATGGCTGATATGCTTGTACAAGGTGGCGGCGGCGCCCCCACCTCGAACAAATGCCCGACGAGAAGAAAGATAATCCGCATTCTTGAAACCCGAAGCCCGGAAGCGATTCTCCTTTTCAATCTCATGGGCTCGACCGGAAATGGGAAGATAAAGATGATTTTTGGTAATGGATGGTTGATTTGGAGAAGAGGGCCTTTTGAAAATATTAAGGACTAAATTGAAAGATGACTCTTTTATGGGGGTGACACTGTAATTTTCAAAAAAATAATTTGAAGGGTATTTTGGTATTTTTAAATTAAAAAACACACTTCCAGTCGCAAAATCGGCAAGTGGCACGATCAGCTCGCAAGGGCTTTATTGGCTTTGACTTCTCAGCAGAGAGGGGCATATGCTAACTTCTTTTGTAATTTTAGAAAAATGAAATGACAAGTTTGTCCCACTTTGATATGGAAATGTCGAATAAGAAGTGATAAATAGCGTAAATTACAACTAACTTCCAGAGATAAAGTGTAATTACAAAAAAATCCTTCATTTTTAGAAATTACATCCAACCTCTTGCAGTTTGTAAATATATACATCCAACTAGACACGGCCATGGGCCGATTTTGGGCTCGGAACCGGCCCGTTGACGAACCGGCCCAAACTGTTGACCGGTGAACCGGCCCGTCGTCCCTAGGACGGGCCCGGTTCTATGAATTGGTGAACCGTGAACCGCCGGGCCGGCTCGGCGGTTCACCCAAATTTTTTTTTTTAAAAAAAAAATCAAAAAAATAGCAAATAACGGCCGGTGAATCGGCCCAGTGAAACGACCCGGTGAACCGGCCGTTATTTGCTATTTTTGATTTCCCACCCTCCCCATTTTTTCTTATAAATACCCTCACACTCCATTTTTTCCTATAAAATTAAGTTAAAGTCCTTTTATTTATTTCCTTTTGTTTTTTCCTATTTAAAAGTAATTATTTTAATTTATTTATCCATTAAGTATTTTGTTTTGTAAAAATATATATATAAATATAATTTTCCGGGCCGACCCCAAATTACATTTTCAGGCGTATTTTTCACCAGAAATGCCATCAATCCGTCTAATTGAAGGCCATTTGCGTCATTTCAGAGACTAATTAGTAATTACCGTAATAGCTACTAATTGATGAAATTGAAGATTCTCACAATTATGGGACCACAATAAGCACAATTCATTTGGAAGAAGAAAACCCTAATTTTATTTTTCTGAAATCAGTGAAATAGGTATTATGATTTAGATGATAATAATGAAATGAATCCAATGTCCTCGAAGTGGACGGATAAGTCGCTATTCTGATGAATAATAAGCCTGAAATTGCGATTTGGGGCAAAGTTATTTTTTTTTCGTTTGTAAGGGGGAAAGTGTGAAAATTGAAAGTTTTTAAGGGGCGAAGTGCATTTTGTCCAAAAAAGAATTGCTAGCGGTACTAAATAATTTCATTTTGGTTGCAGATTTCGTGCTGGCCCTGCTTCGGCATCCTGAGCATTGCATCTCCGTCTTTTTATCAGTAAGTTAATAAACTTTTGATTCTTTAAGTTTAATGTTGATGTGCATAATGTATTTTCTTTACTTCTTTACTTTGACGAAAATTTCTATTCTTGTGTATTTTGGTGAATTAATAATCAGTATTTAGAATATTTATACCTTAAATATCACATTCAGGCTTCTTAATTATATTCACGCATCGAATTTAGTCGAGCAAACAATACTCAATTTTGATCTACAACCGTAAATACAGATAGATGTGAAGTGGAGCACAGAAGGAGCGGAACAAAGATTCTATCAACTTTCTTTGGAAGAACGTAGTAAGTTTGACGAGGAGACGCTTGTCAATTTCAACAACGCAAAAAGCGGAAGCTCGTGTACCTTGAGATCAAGTGGATTTAGCAATGAGTACATTGTGGTAAGACTTCAAAAACTTTTGTTTTTCTTGCAAGCTTGTTTTTGAGGATCCTAATCAAATTAAGAGGAAAAACTAAGGCCTCGTTGTTCTTAAGATAAAATTAGCCAAGATCAGATTAAATAATCGAATGAAACTCAATTGTATTAATGGACCTTAGAATACATATAATATGAAATTGTTTCATGTCTGACATATATGTGATCATAAAAGTATTGGTATCGCCAATAACTTGTCGGGTCGACCCGCAAGTATTTGGATCTTGCAAGATCCAATAAAACAACTGGGTTTCATTAGATTATTTAATATTATCTTGACTAATCTTATCTTGGCAACCAAACAAGGGATTAAGAGGTTATTACGATATTACAACTTAGTCTTGAAAAAAACATGAAATATATTTTCAGGTAACAATCTTGGTGAGGGTTATAGGTAAACTAAAGTTACCTCGTATCAATAACATTAAAGATTTGAAAGAAGTTTTAGAGAAGCTTGGAAGTCTCCCATTACGTAAAATTGCGGTAAGTGAATTGTAAGTGCTCCTCCTAATTTTTTATTTTTTTTTGCATTATTTCGATAGTCTCATTTCACCCAACTGTTTTATAAACGCAGGCGGTCGAGGTTTTATTGGCCCCTCGGATTGGAGACGACACTCTATCCGAAGAGAAACTTCTTGAAAATTACCCGTTACTGCGGCCTTTGCATTAAGTGTAAAGTTTGTGCATCTTCCCATTTTGAAAATTAACCCTTATTGCGACCTCTTCAATGAGTGTAAAGTTTCGACGAGATTTTATATAACCATTTTTCGCTATGTGTGTGTTTTACTATGAAAGTTGCATATTGTCCATATTATGGGTAATAAATGTTTTCGATTTAGTAGATGAATTTCCGCTATATGTAGAGGCGTTTCGACTGTAGTTTCTGAATTAATGTAGATTATATCCAGTCGTTGACCAATATATTTTTCGTTACGGACATGATTCTGGATTTTCAATTGCTACCAGTTCCGGACTTCATTTGTGTTAAAGTAAACATTCGCATGCTTTTATGTACATGTCTTCTCCTTAAGTGCATTGTGGTTATATCTCGGAGGCAGGGATGGAAATTGGAAAAGAATTTCTGGAAAAGAAAAAAAAAAGACGTTGGCATAATTTTATTGAATGTGAAATTTGAAAATTTTGATTTCCTATTATATTTTATTTTTATTTTAGATCAAATTATAATGGAATATAAATGAGATTCCAATTTAATTTTAATTTATTCTTATTTGATTTTAATTTTCTGAAAACAATTTCGGAAGTCCAATTTTTTTTATCTTTTTTGAAAATTACATGCAAAATTTAAATTTTATGCATTTTAAATTATAGTTGATTAAAAAAATTGGAATTTCCAAATTTTGCCAATTATGGTTCGAAAATATCCAACGAAACAAGTCTTTTCATTCAATTTTCGAAATTTTCGATTTCCGAATTTTCCTATTTATATCAACTAACTTATAAGTATCATATTCTAACACTTTAAAATTTAAGGGCAAATGGCAAATAGGCCCATGACAAGAGCACATAATTAAAAGAGGGACATCCAACTTTTTTGTTTTGAAAATTAAAAAAAAAAAAAAAAAAAAGTATATAAATTTAACAAAAAAGTTTATTATTATTTAATAATAATAATAATAATAATAATAATAATAATAATAATAATAATAATAATAATAATAATAATAATAATAATAATAATAATAATAATAATAATAATACTAAATAAATCAGCGAAAATGATAAATGCAAGACCAGAAATGTTGAATGCAGTTTGGCCGAAAATTGCATATAAGGGTAGTATAGTACTTTCGTTTCTCTAGGGGGTATGTCAAAGGATGATTAGGGCTTGGGTTTATCCCTAGTTTATTTGGTGGCTAGGGGGTTATGTAAAAAAACCCCAAATAAGTATTGGATTTATGGATATATACAGTAGAATCTCGATAAATTAATACTGATAAATTAATAACCTCCCTTAAATAATAGTTTTTTTTTTTTTTAACCTGACTCGGTGAAAACGTGTTAAATTATTAACTAAATAATTTAATAATTGACTAAATTAATAGAATTTCCCTAGTTCATAGTGTATTAATTTATAGAGGTTTAAGTGTAGTCGGTAAACGAAAAAGTAGAATATCCCTTTCTTAATTAAGTGTTTGTCATGTACTTTTTTGCAATTTTCCAATTTGTTTTTCTATTGAATGTAATAATAATAGCACGGACCTTTGACTCAGTCGTGTATCCAATCCATCAATCGATTGCAATCGCGGCAGTATATAAAGCCCTCTCCGCTGTCAGCAACTCCATTAGCCGCCCATTAATTTTCCATCTCCGGCAACTTTTTTCTTCTTCGATTATCACTGTTCTCTTCCTTATTCACCACCGAATCAAATTCGTCCTGTTTTCAGGTTTTCCAACGGTTTAATTCAAAAAATTAACTAAAACCCTAGCGCACACTTTTGTGTTCTTCCTTGTATGAATGCGATTGATTGATTGATTAACGTATTATTTATTACTTGTTTCGCGCAGCCGCGATTGAGGGATGGCGAACGAAGAAATCTCCGGCGAAATCCGTCTCGAAGAGGAGGGAGCTTCGAACCTCGCTAATGGATGTAGCGACTCCACCAGTAAGAAGATTGCAGCAGACGAAATTGGGGATAAAGTTGATGACCTAAATTTGGATGAGCCCCTAGGTAATTAAAAAAATTTCCATGGCAGCTCAATTTATTTTCGATTATGTTGTTTTAGGATGTTTCAAACAGTTGATTTTGAGTTATTCTAGCAGAGTAATTAACTCTCTACTCGTTTCGTATTTCAATTTATTTTACATGCCCTGATTTTTATAGTTTATGCCTAACTTGTTGTATTTGCACATTTGGCCGTGTTTAGAAGCTGCAAAGAAGAAGAAGAAGAAGAGTAAAAGCAAGTGAGGAAAAAAAAAAATCTTCTATACCCTCATCGTTCATCTTTTTATGTTTGATACCGCAAATCAACTGCAAGTGTCTTTTTTTAATTTTCAGGAAGAAGAAAGAACCGCTTCAGCAAACTGATCCACCGTCTATTCCTGTAGTTGAGCTTTTTACATCTGGCGAATTCCCAGAGGGTGAAATCCAACAGTATAAGGATGAGTACGTACAATTGTGATTGCACTTTATTTCTTGTCTAAACAAGCACAATTTTTTTTTAATATATTTTTATTCTATTTCTTTCCCCAACTCTGCGCACCATATTTTTTGGTTTTTATATGTCTTATGTTCTCCTCTTTATCTTTTTGGAGTATAATTCGCAAACCACCCAATCTTTATTGGAGATGATGTAAATAAGTTTCAAGTAGATCCATATCGAGGATCCTGTTTGTTTGTATCTTGTCTACCATGGTTCTTTTTCTTTTTTTCTTTTTTAGTTTTATAATATCATGGACTCCTCTCGAAAACATCATCGCTATAGCAACGAAATATATTTAATGTAAAAGATCTTCTTGTTTAAGATTTGTAGCCACCACTTGCAATCTATTGATTGAATCTAGTCATTGATTGTGACCGATTTTTTAAAGAAAAAAGAGAAGGATTCATGATACAGATTAATGGGTATTACATCCTTAGTATTTCACTTAGGAATCCTCTTGTAGAATTTATCATTTGAAGTTGTTAATAGTATTTCTCTAATAAGCTAAGTATTGAAATGATATCCAGTGAATCAAACTACAACACAGTGTCATACTTGTAGAGAGATTTAACCATTCGTTGGTTCATGGCCTGTAATTTTCTTGTGGCATCAATCGTGATACTTGACTGCCATGCTGCCCGTGTATGTTCAATTTAATATATTTTGTTTTTTATAGTTCTGAAATAACCATTTAAAAACACTATAGTTTGTTGTCAGTATGATTATTTTCTTGCTTTATACACCGAGGGATCTAAAATAGTTATTTCATGCATGATTGTTCAATCAAGTAACGTGTGGAGAAATACATCTGAGGAAAAGAGAGAACTGGAGCGACTGGAGAAACCGATTTATAATTCAGTTCGCCAAGCAGCAGAAGTCCACCGTCAGGTACCTGCAAATCCTTATTTATGCCAATTTGTTTTCTAGTCGTATGTCTAGTTTAGCTTTTCCTAATTTCTATTCTTGTAATCCTTGACAGGTTCGAAAATACATGAGGCAAATCTTGAAGCCCGGAATGTTGATGACTGACCTGTGTGAAACCTTGGAGAATACTGTTCGTAAATTAATATCAGAAAATGGTTTACAAGCTGGCATTGCATTTCCTACAGGTTGCTCATTGAACTGGTGAGTCGTGATTTCAGATAACGGGTCTTCTACGTTTTTTAGTTTATCCATATCAGGTTTCAGCCGGATTCACCTTTCTCTATTGTCTTGTGTTTACCCTCTATTTGCAGGGTTGCAGCCCATTGGACTCCAAATAGTGGGGATAAAACTGTGCTTCAGTACGATGATGTGATGAAACTAGACTTTGGGACTCATATTGATGGTAATTCAGCTCCTCTTGTTCTTTGTCTTACATTAACATGATGGTTTGTAGATGCTTTTTTTTTAAGACGGTTTTTTATTCTTCTCGTTTTAGTGCTACTCTGACTTCAATTTATGCAATCACCTTATTTCAGGGCATATAGTGGACTGTGCATTTACTGTGGCCTTCAACCCCATGTTTAACCCACTCCTTGAGGCCACACGTGAAGCTACTAACACGGGTATCAAGGTGGGACCACATACGTTTATTTTCCTCTTCTTCGTCCTTCTTTCTTTTTTCTTTTTTTTTTCTAATTCTTTTTATTAATTTTTTTTTTTTGTGAAACAGGAAGCTGGAATCGATGTGCGTCTGTGTGATATTGGTGCTGCAATCCAGGAGGTCATGGAGTCATATGAGGTTGAAATCAATGGAAAGGTGTTCCAAGGTAAACTGTATGATATACACTCGGGATCCGGAGTTAATCATTATCTGGAACAAATAAATTTTCCCGATTTCGTTTCTTTCCCTTAATATCCATGTCTTTTAAATAAATATCTTAAATGATAAGAAGGACGCAGTTCTTCCTTATTGCCGTAGTCATGCACGTAAGCTTGGTTTGATCTGGATTATTTGCTTATTTAACAGTCAAGAGTATCAGAAATTTAAACGGGCACAGTATTGCGCCTTATCAAATCCACGCGGGAAAATCCGTTCCTATAGTAAAAGGAGGAGAGCAAACAAAAATGGAAGAGGGTGAATTTTATGCAATCGAGACTTTCGGATCCACAGGTTAGGCCTCTTTTACTGCCCAGTGTAGGAAAACTTTGTTCAATTCAAGTATACTTAAATACATACGATTATCTGCCTGTCTTTTTTTGTGAAATGTAGGAAAGGGATATGTTAGAGAAGACCTCGAATGCAGCCATTACATGAAGAATTTCGACGTCGGTCACATTCCTCTGCGGTTGCCCAGAGCCAAACAGCTTTTGGCAACTATCAATAAGAACTTCTCTACATTGGCTTTCTGCAGACGCTATCTTGACCGCATCGGAGAAACTAAGTATTTAATGGCACTCAAAAATTTGTGTGATGCTGGTATTGTTCAGGTATGTGTCCTTTTTGCAGTTTAAGAATTCTAAAGCTTGTTAGAAAAGCAGTCTGTTATGGCAAGAAAAATGGAAGGAATAAATTTTCGGTTTAAAGTTGAAAAAACCTTTAGGGTGGGTTTGGACGGAAGTATTTATTTGAGGATCCATAAAAACAAATTCATTGAGGGTGCATTTGGATGGAAGGATTCGAGGGAGGAATTTTAAATTCATAATAACGAATCCATTTGGATTGAGTAATTTGACAAGGCATATCGAATCCATTGCTTTAATTTTTAGTTTTCAAGCAATTGTAGTGCATTTCAAATCCCTTCCCGTTTCCTTTTTGGACTCATTTCAAATCCTTCAATCCAAACGCGGCCTCTACATTTGGATTGAATCATTTGACATGGAATTTCAAATCCATGGCTCTCGTTTTCAGTTGTTTTCTAGGCATCTTGGTGGAATTCAAATCCATGAACAATTGGAGTCATTTCAAATCCATTCATTTTAAATAACTTGGTACAAACGAACCGTAGCATTTCGATTTAATGTGCTTTAGAATAATTCCAATGTGGAAGCTTTGATAATGGGTTGCTAGTTTAGTTGAAATAAGCGAGCTCGTTAGGACACACTCATCAATGGGGTTAAGGGTGTCAATAAGAAAAAAAAGTATCGCAAAAAAAATTTAAATAGTTAATCTTGAATTTGCTAAAATTCGATTTGCTCGTTTGGCTTGTACTGCTTAACCTACGTTTTATTTCCTCCACAATTTTGTGAATTGAGATATTATGTGATTGTATACTTTGGCAGCCGTACCCTCCTCTTTGTGATGTTAAAGGAAGCTATGTATCGCAATTCGAGCACACAATTTTGCTTCGTCCAACGTGCAAGGAAGTTATTTCGAGAGGTGATGACTACTAATGATAATTATCACGAGTCCCAATTACGGCAGCTCTGGACTATAATAAATATTTGCACAATTTTCTGTATAATTTATATTTGATTGTTGTAGGAGCAACTTTTATTGATTTATTTTTAAGTGTTTTTTTTTTCTCTTTTTATCACTACAACTCCACATGGTTCTTGTATTTCTTTGCCCTCGAATTCTTTAGCAAACCAACATCTCTTCATCTCTTTCTAGTGTTGTTCTTTCTTGGTGTTTTTTCGGTTGTTCGGTTTTACTAATTAATGTGAAGGTTTTGCGTAAGCTGCGATTATGATATACTTTGGTCACAACTCTACTTGATTTCCAGAGGAATTTTCGTCTGCTATTATTAACTAAAGTTTTGTGCCTGTTTTTTTTAAATGTAATCGAACATGCTGCTAATTTAATTGATAATTGAACGAGGTCTTATATGTACTCCCTTTGTCACATATTATTTGTCATTGTGGAGTAATTCTTTTGTCCAATTTTATTTGTCATTTTAGAGCTTCAACAAAGCATTAATTGTTTTTTTTTTCCCTTACAAATTTTGTTCCTTATCATTCTTAATTAGTTAATTAAAAATTAATCAATAATAAGGGCATTTTAGTATTCACTATGTTCTTTCTCTAATTTTCACCTATATTCAGGTCCGCCCCTGTGACAGCTATGCAAGTTTTTAGTTTGCGCCCGCATGGGTGTAGCTCAATCGGTTCGGGGTGGTAAGTTATGACAAGATCCTAAGTTCGAATTCTGATAGTCGCATTGTGGGAACTTCAACTCCAATGATGGTTGATTTCTTCTGGGCATCAAATCCGGGTGCGCTACCCTAACGGGCCGTTGAGTTACCATGATTTACATTCCTCCATCAAATATTTGTCGGACCAAGGGATGGGAACCTTAGGGCCGAGGAATTTTGCCTTTTGGTACAAGTTTTTACTTTGCGACTGTCGACTTACAAAAATAAATAATATATATATATATATATATATATATATATATATATATATATATATATATATATATATATATATATATATATATATATATATATATATATATATATAATATATATACATGAATGGTCATGTAATTGATTTACCTAGTACCATTGCGTTTTATAATGGCCAAATAGCAAATAAATCCATAGAAAACTGTCTAGTTGCAAATTCGCCCGCTCCAAGATTTCGTTTACCAAAGAGGACATCAACTCTTCTTCTAAAGATTAATGCCAATTAACATCTAATTTATTCTAATTTTATCTCTCAAAAAATTCTACTTTAACCAATATTGCCCATTAACCCTAATTTTAACGAGTATTGCATATTGTTGATCTCCATTTTGATGGCGCAACTGCCATGACATTTTTTTTTATTATTATTTTCATTTCCGTTTTTTTTATTTGTTAACTCATCAATATTACTGTTAACATAGCAATATTAATTTTTGGGCAAACTATACTCACCCCTGAGATATGAGTAGATTATAAACAACCCCTCTTGCTTGGGTAATTACAACCATCCCCTCATTTTAAATATTTTTACTTAAAATTTAAGAAATTCGGTTATTTACTGAAACAAATCGTATATTTAGTTCGGTAAACGGTATAAAATGTCGGCGTACCGAAATTTCGGTTCAGTGTTACCGATTTAACATCTCTAAATTTAGCTATGGAGGAGTTTTTTCATAAGATAATACATAGTAGAGGGGGTGACTGTAATTACCCAAACACGAGGGGGGTTTCATAATTTGACCATAACTTAAGGGTGACCTAAATTTGCCCTTACTTTTTTTGCTACGTTTACTAGTCAGCACTGTAATACTATTGTGTAACATAGTGATATTACACGGTAACATAGTAACATTAATTTTTTTTCTTACAGTTATATTTTTTTATTGTAATATTATAGTGTTTACCTGTCAATACAGTAATATTACCGTGTTGAAGTCCCGCAAGGGATGGTCTGGCAATTAGAGAAAATGAGCTTGTATCAATTGACCTAGGTTCGAATCCCCTTGCCAACGCTCGTTAGGTCGAGTTTGTCACATATGGTTAGCCTAGTGTGGTTTACGTGTCTCGTATGGTTTTCGAGATGTATTAAATAGGAAAAATTGTAGTTTAGGTCCTCTATGTTGGAGTATTTAGGAATTTAGTCCTCTAACTTGTTATGTCTCAGTTTTACATGCAATAATTTTGCAAATATAGTATTTTTAGTTCTATTTTGCATGATTTTTAATTTTATGACGCGGCAAATAAACTTGACGCATTTTACATATATGGACGCTTGGAAATTTATAAATTCGACATCTAACTTACCATTTAAAGAACTTTAATTATACGAGACGACTCATTTATAAATCAAATTAGATGAGCATTTATAATTTTGAAGTGTCCATATAAATAAATTTCTACGAGTTTGTTAGGTACATCATTAAACGACCGCTAAAATTAAAAGTCCGAGTGAAATAGGACTAAAAATACTAATTTTGCATAATTATTGCACGTAAAATTGAAATATAACAACTTATAGGACTAAATCCCTAAGAAAAACCAACATATAGGACCAAAATTACAATTTTTCCGTGTTATATATATATTATCCGGCTTGAACACAAAGGAAACATTTTTCTTCTTTCCTTCCTAATAATAATCCATGGCCGCCGCCCAAAGTCTTCTCCTCCATCAGCAAATACATAGAACAAAACCCTACTCTTCTCCTCCTCCTCAATTCCCGCCAAACACTTTCTCCTCCGTTAACTTCAAAACGAATATTCCGTCAAAAAGTTTCAAAAAAATTCTCACCGTTAAACACTCTCTGCTAAACAACAGCACCAACAATGCCAACGGCGATGGCGATTCCATTCGTCACCACCGAGAACTTGAAAAAATAATCCTCCTTCCGAAATCGGGAACTAAAAGAAACCGAGTCGAGATAGCGGTCGAAACCCTAATAGTAAATGCCCTAGAGTCACTCCAAAAACCCATTGTAGTAGCTGCTGTTGCAATACTAGGGTTACTAGTATTGAATTGCAACCCTAATAGTTTTGCATGGGCGGCCTCCGGTGGACGTATGGGCGGGGGTTCTTCTTCTTCCTCCTCTTCCTCCGCTTCTCGGTCAAAGTCAACGTCTTCGAGGAGGGGTTCGTTGTCGTGGAGGAACAATTGTTCATCGTCGAGCAACCATTGTTCATCTTCTGATCAAGAATATTCCTCCGGAGTTGATTACGGAATGTTCTATTTAATATTTATCCCATCACTTTTTGCGTTGATTCTAGCTGTGGCTGCGCTCAATACTTATCTCGAGTTTTTGGAAAAAAGAACAAGCGTGATTAAGCTGCAGGTATAGCTTCTTCTTTTTTTTTTCTTTTTTTTTTTCTTTTTTTGCGTATACTCTTTTAGTTTATAATGTATCATATATTGGTGGTGTTTGCAAAAGCTTCTAAAAAGAAGAAAAAGTTAGTGACTATGAGTTCAGTTAGTGATGAGTACTTATTTCTAATAGTTGAGTGTATTTGCAGATTTCATGAAAAAAATCATTTTTAAGCAACTTATTTGAAACAAAATTGCTTAAGTGTTTTTTTTTATATATATATATTTTAAGCAACTTATGTATCATATATAGGTGAGTTAAGTTAGTGACAAGTACTTATTTCTAATAGTTGTGTGTGTTTGCAAATTTCATGAAAAATCATTTTTAATCAACTTATTGTATTGAAAATATTTCAAAAGTGATTTTGAGCCCCGAAAAAAAAAAGTTGGCGAGCATTTTTCAAAAGCTTTTGCTTGCAAACACCTAACATGGTCTTCTGCGCGTCAAGTTTACGACTTTATCTGTTTCAATCTTGTCCCATGTATTATGTTTCTTTTTTTGTTGTTCATTATTTTGAGTTTCATTAAAACTTTGTATAACTTTTTTTTAATCTATGTTTAAAGATTGGTTTATCGGGCACGGATAAATCACTCCGTAAGGATCTTAACCGGATTGCTCAAACTACAGATACATCCACCTCAAAGGGTTTTCACTCCGTATTGACTGGTAACACATTATTTTTTTTTTTCCCGTATCTTGCAGCTTAGCTAACCGACTCGTTTCTATCGATTAGATTTTCTAGGCCTAAACACTTCTATTACCGATTTTGTCATTTATTAGTAGTGAGTATTTTATATGGAGAGAAAATCATTTAATAGTATTCTACTTTTCTTAATATGTGTAGATACTGTCTATTAGAATTCTTAATTTATGTGCATCTACCTTAAATAATATTAAAAAAAAAATGAAGGGAGTCGTTAACATAAGACGGTGAACTTATCTGCATTTTGTCCGATTTGCCCTTCCGAGGGTCATCAATTTATTTGCAGGAGGAATTGTAATAAGAGATTTATTTTTGTGCTTACAACAAAAAAGTTTCAATATTAGGGTTTACTTGTAATTATTTATGTCTTCAAATGAAAATATGAGGAGATCTTTAATTCATGCACTTGGCACCTAGTTCATTTGGGAATGTTGATGGGGTTGATTATAAGATTGGTTTAATTGGTTTGAATTAATTATTTGTTATAATTGACATAATATATATGGTTAGATTTGAGATGAATGATTACACAACCCTTGTATTGGGAAATTGAAATTGAACTAACAGGATGTTTGACTAAGTTTATAAGATGTTAAAAATAATTTATAAGATGTTTATGAGCTTATAAGTTCTTTCAAGATTTGTGGTATTTTTTTGAAACGATCTTAAAAGTACAAAAATTAAGTTGTTGGAGAGCTTTTAAGATCTTTTAAAAAACGACCTATACCCCACTTTTTTTTGTTTAAGATTTTATAATGAGTAAAAGTAGCTCATAATCTCATCATCCAAGTACTTTAAGAAAATAATTCTGAAAATAAGACGTAACAACTTATCAGCTCTTAAAACAACTTATCGTAAGAGGTTATCAGTCGTTTAAGATAAGCTTAACAAAAATGGGTTGTAGATGTCATTCGTATTCATATGCTTGATTGAATTCTTAACCCTAACAATTTCATATTGGTTGCAGATACGATGTTGGCTTTGCTTCGGTATCCCGATAATTACATCTCCGCCTATTTATCAGTAATTTCTACAACCGTTGATTCTTTCCTCTCGTTGATTCATTTCTATATAAGTGACATGAAAAAAAAAAAAGAAGATATGTTTTGAACGTAAAGATATGCTTCGAACTCTATTAGAGCGTATTTCGATTGAAGAAATTTGACAACTTATTCCGAAATCTTGAGCTCTCATTTTAAGTTATTCTTTCGCAATTGTGCTAGTTTTTAAATTATTTCCCGTTTGAGTTATATATATATATATATATATATATATATATATACACATACACAAATGTTTTCTCAAACTTACTTTAATTGGCATAAACATATGTAGAATGATCTGAAGAAGGACGCGGTCGAAGGGGAGAAAATATTTTATCAACTTTCTTTCGAGGAACGTTGCAAGTTAGATGAAGAGACACTTGTTAATGTCAACAACATAAAAAAGCAAAGCTCGACAGCCGTGCGATCAAGTGGACTAATTAGTGACGAACATGTGGTGGTAAGAATTCATGCTCGATTTTGTTAAAAAAAAAAAAAGATAATTAATATGGATTAATTTCCTAAAATATTAAATTATCGAACTAATAATTTAATACGTTTCACTGAGTCGGGACCGGAATAAATTATTATTTAAGCGAGATTATTAATTTATCGAGGTTCTCCCGTATTTCAGGTAACAATCTTGGTGGTTGCTCGACAACCACAAAAGTTGCCTTCGATAGAAAACAATGAAAATCTGAAAGAAGCTTTAAAGAAGCTGGGATGTCTTCCATTAGATTCAATTGTGGTAAGCATACGGAAAATCTTCACTGTGAACGGAACTAATCCTAATCGATTTTTCGCATTGTTTCGATTGCCTTATTTTTACACGTGTCTTAAAAAAAATGCAGGCAGTTGAGGTATTGTGGACTCCACAGAAAAAAGACGACACTCTATCGGAACAAGAACTTATTAAAAATTATCCCTTATTGCACCCTCTTCATAAAGTGTAAAGTAAGTTGTAATCTCTGTATATATAGATTTTAGGGTAAATAACAATCGCCCACCTGAAGTAAGGTCTATTTAATTACGAAAAACCCTCTCATTTTCCCATAATTACACTGTAATTTGTAGATTTCTTACTTTAACACTCTTTTGTAGGAAGGAGGTGGATGTACGAAATTTACAAACTACAGGAGGTTGGGTGTAATTTTTAAAAAAGAAGGATTTATTTGTAATTACAGTTTACCTCAGGGAGGTGGTTGTAATTTACTCGATACTTTCTTTTCTAAATTGTTCTTATAGTATGGCCTTACAAAACAGTTGAAGTTTGATGGTATAATCCATGTGACTATTGGTTTCTCATTTCAAGAATGGTGCTTCTCTATTTTCAGATTTTGGAGGTGAAATTTAAATTATTTGATCTTCTTCGCATTTGATTTATATTTTCGATAACATTAATCGATATCTTTGTATTGAATTAAATGTTAAAGACCGATGCGCTCCACATCTAGCACTTTGCGATGCCTTAAAAACGAACAAGGTGAGAATTTTGGAATCCATGTTCGGAAAACTTTGAAGTTTGGAAAATATGTTTGAGTAGATTTTATAGGTGCAAGAAGAAATTTGAGTTCTAAACGAATTGTCACTTTGTACTTGATATTTAATAATTTGAATTATATATTACGGATTTTTATTACGGGTTAGCACTATGTATATAGACTATTGTGCAAATATTTTTTTTCATATTCGATTATTTATTATTATTATTTGTTAAAAAGTTTTTCTCTTTAAATAAGAAAGCATTATTTTAAAACAACGAGCTGTCCTTCGAAATTTTACCAAATAAATCTTCGTGTAATAGTAAAATTTACGACATAAATTTACGAAATAATAATAATAATAATAATAATAATAATAATAATAATAATAATAATAATAATAATAATAATAATAATAATAATAATAATAATAATAATAATAATAATAATAATAATAATAATAATAATAATAATAATAATAATAATAATGATGATGAAAAAAAAAATGGTGGAGTCTACGTTATATTAATAACTAGTATTTTTATCTAGTTATATTTTATACTATTTTATACTTGAAAGAGAGGGGGTGTTTGCCGCGAGGTAGCGAGGAAAAGAGAGCGGTGTTTCTTGGCTTTCTAGAAAGATGTATATATACGACGAAATTTCCACCAAAAGACGACAGAATTTACACCAAAAGACTTTTAATTCATGCATGCGAAAATTCATTACTTCATTTTATTCAACGTTAATTCATTATAAAATAGGGTAATTTACAACCGCCCTCTTCAAGTATAGTCTACGAAAAATTCCCTTTTGTTTGAATTATTACATATATCCTTCAACTATGAATCTTCTTACACCTCTAATTTTACGGTGTCAAATTCAACATAATTATCTAGATTCCGTGGAATGTACTCTAATTTGTACTCGTTTTGTATAAAAATACAGTTTATGATGCACCACGATCTGATATAAACAAGCCAAAAAGCACATCTCATGATGATCTTGCTTCAAAATGTGGAGCTCGAGTGTGATAAATCGGGTACGAAAGTGATAATATTCTATATAATCAAGAAGATTCCACTAAATTTTAAACCGCAATGGTGGACGTGTAAGAAAATTTATAGTTGAGGGGTTGTTGTAGTTACCCAAACAAGGGGGAGATTTTCATAATTTTAATATACATCAGAGGTGGTTGTAATTTAGCCTGTAAAATATAGGGTAATCTACGAAAAAAAACTCATGAAGTTAGGCCAAATTATAAAATAAAATAAAATAAATCCCTACATATCCGTGATTAGTAAAATCCTCCCGACTTTTGTTTCCATCTGACACCGACCTCCTTACTGAGTATTTTTTTATGAAATCTTTTTTGTTCCAGTTAATATTTCCTGACAAATACCAGTTTTACCTCTGTAAATGTGACATTTATTTATGTCATTTTTTTCAAGATAAAAATTATTCTCATATGAGTAATAATGTACTAAAGAGTTATATATTATTTAAGAAAAAATACAAATTTCGTGTAAAGGCTCCCTTAGGGTAATTTTGCATTTAAAAAGTACTCCCTCCGTCTCAACTTAAATGACGTTTTGAATTGTTGCACACGTGCTAAGAAAATCAATAAATATGTATAGATTATAGTAAAGAATATAGAAAATACTAATATATCCTTGACATTAATTGTTTTACAACTAATTAATTATGATTGATAAAGGGTAAAATTGAAATAATCTAATTATTGATTCATTGAAAATCTAAAATGACAATAAATTTGGGACAAAAAAAACTTTCTCAAAAGACATAATATAAGACTAATATGCATAATTGGGCATGGGCTACCACCGAGGCCCAATCACATTCAGTAAGGTTTGGGCCCGACAATCTCAACTAAGGTATAAATAAAGGTTTGAAGTCATTTCTTAAGGCACATCCTATTATCTGAGCAATACTACCAACTGTATTCTCAGGACTATTTCTACAATCCGCACGTCTGACTTGAGCGTCGGAGTAGTTTCCGCCGGATCAACCCCGACATAGTTCACGTGTTCTATGATCGCAGGTATCTCAAGGTCATCAAGCTCGTAAGTCAGTGATCCACTATACTCCAGCTCATCCTACTTCAACACTTTAAGTTAAAATAAATGTCACGTCTGTATTGGTAAATTCGGCATATTTTTGGGAAATATTGCTTGGAAACAAATAGATTCCATGACAATCACAAACAAAAGTTGAGGGGATTTCAGTAATTACGAATAGGTGGGGGAATTTTTATGATTTAGCCTAAGTTCGGGGGAGTTTTCGTAATTCACCCTAAAATACATCAAAAATTTTAAAGTATTTAATTAATTAAAAAAAGAATGAAAATACGATGTTTTATCGTAGAACTGTCTTCTTTCTCCAAGTCCAACGGCCAAAGTCTATAAAAGAAAATAGAAACCCACGATTTACAGAAGTGGCGGCTTCGTACAATGGAGAATACCAAAAAACCCGTCGCAATCGCCTCTAGAATCTCAATAATGTTTGTATTAGGGCTACTGCTGTTGATGTACGGTCCTAATTTTGCGGCGGCGGCGGCCACCGGAGGGCGGATGGGCGGAACTTCCTTCTCTTCAAGGAAATCGTCGGCGTCTCGTTCGTATTCCTCTTTTCGCCGCCGGAGTTATGTTTACCCTTCGAATTCCTGTTACTCCGATCGCCGGAATTATGTTTCCCCTTCGGATTCCTATTATTCCGGTCGCCGGAATTATGTTTCCCCTGTAGAAGCAGAAATCTGCAATTCTACCTCCGATGGCACCGGCAATAACTTTGAATGTAATCCGGCAGTTGTTTTAGGGTTTGTGATTGTGCTTTTTGGGATTATTTGGGTTCGCGGGATCTACGCTGATTTAACAACTGTGCTTAAGCTGCAGGTATGGTTTTTAATTACTTGCTTAATTCTTTACTTACAATCAGTTGCTAATTGATAGATAATAGCAAAGGTTTATATGAATATTATAAATATATGGGTAAATTACAACCTCCCATGAGTTATTGTTAAATTACGAAAAAACCCCTCATGTTTCGGTAATTACAGTCACTCTCAATTATAAATCTTCTTGCACGTCCATCCTTGCAGTTTAAAATTTAGTGGAATATTCTCAATTTTGGACCCGTTTTATCCCATTCGATCTCCAGATTTTAAAGCTAGATGATCATAAGATGTGGTTTTGGGCTTGTATATATCAGATTGTGGTGCATCAGAAACTGTATTTTTGCTCAAAATGAGTACAAACTGGAGAATATTTCACGAAATCTGGATGAATATGTTGAATTTAAAACCATAAAAGGGGAGATGTACGAAGATTTATAATTGAGGGGTAGATGTAATTATCCAAATAAGAGGGTTTTTTTTTGTAATTTGATCATACATTAGGGGTGCTTGTAATTTACCCTAAATATATTTGTAGGTAATTGATATATTATTATGTTGAACTTGAGTCTTGAGACATCGGAAACTGTGGAAGTTTTCATCCCTCCAGTTTGCACCGGTTTCATATTTGGTCCCCAGTTCAAAAAAAACACATTTGATCCCTCATATTTTAATAATTTAATATTCTTGGTCATTTTCGTCAATTTATCGTTAGTCCATTAGTTAAGACAATGATGGGCACACGCTTGATTCCGTTAGTTTTAACGGAAAATTAACAGAAATGACTAAAAATGTTGAATTTTTGAAATATAAGGGACTAAATGTATTTTTTGTCGGCATGGGACCAAATGAGAAATCGGTGCAAACTTTGAGGGACAAAACCTGTATTTTTCCCTCAGAAACTCCATTCGCTATGAGTTATGTAGCACGGAAACTTCAACTTCTTAACGTTTTCGTGTTTAGGATAAGTTTCATGTCCGATACTCGAGGACACCTGCCGAATACCTTATGGGCCATTTTAAAAGTTAGAGACATGTTTGAATAGCAATATTTTCAAATATTTTTATTGATTCCCTAATTATTTACACGATTTACCGATCAATCGCAAATTGGTAGTTGATAATAAAATATATTTTGAATATGTTTATATGAAAATATATAAAAATAATTTATATATAAATAAAAACTTATGTCTATATAAATATACCCCTATATTATTATTATTTACATGTTTCCCCCAAGCTCCCGTATGCCCATTTTTGGGACATGTCGTTTCCCCGTGTCGGTTTCCCGTTTCGTCGTATCGTTGTTTCCGTGTCGGTGCTACATAGCCTACAAGAAGTTATGGTAGTTTTATACCTGCCATACTAGGAAAAACTTAAGATGCTCTGTTAGTATAACCATTTATATGCCAAGATGTAACCCCTAATGCCATTTACAATGCAGTTGCGCGTAATTGCATTATCGTTTTTGTGCTGTTAAAGTCTTCCTACTGCGGTTTCTTTCTCTTTTTACATATTATTTTCCTTATTTTTTTAGTTTCATTACAACTTTGTATGTATTTATGTTTGTTCATTCAAGGTTGGGCTAACGGCACCCGAGAGATCACTTCAAAAGTATCTTAATCAGATTGCCGAAACTGCAGATACATCCACCCCAGAGGGTTTGCACTATGTATTGACAGGTAGTTACACGTCTCGTCAGATTATTTTTTTTTGGACATTTTTGCCCCTTAGTTTTTTGGTTTTGGATGAGTACAAATATTGTCGATTTCTTTCTATAGCAAAGGGCATAACCGTCATCATATGGTAATGCTAGTTTGAAATTGAACTTCTGGTTTGCAGGGATTTAGTATGAGCTTCTAATTTTATTTAATTTATTTCGTACTTTTTAATTATGTCTTTTAAAAAAATTTGTGACAGCTGAACAATGTCGTTTTGGTTGCAGAGACGGCACTGGCTTTGCTTCGGTATCATGATTATTGCATCTCCGCCCGTTTATCAGTAAGTTAAATAAACCTTCGATCTTCTTTTTTTTTTTTAATTCTTTACTGGTGTTGCCCAGGCGGAATAAGAGCGAAAGGCCACAGTTATAAAACGACATTAAAAAAAAAATAGTTGACTCTTTGAATTTGGTCAATCGAATTTTACGAGACTCTCGACTAAATGTAATCGACCAACTATTCTAAAAAAAAAACTCATGGTCCAAATCATGGGTTTATTCGAGAAAATTGCACTTCATATTAACAATCCAAGTCTAGATATAGTTATTTTTCTTACCACACGTGCAAATGGAGATTTTTTTTCCTGATATATAATTTTAGGGCAAATTGCGGCCAAACCCCTAAGGTAAGGTTAAATTACCAAAAAAAAAAAAAACCCCTCTTGTTAGAGTAATTACAACAACCCCCTCAACTATGTATTGTTTTACGAAAAAAAGACATTCTTTCAGTAGGTAACTTTGACGGTAACTTTGACACTGTAAGGGTGGACGTATAAGACAATACATAATTGGGGGTGGTGGTTATTACCCAAACAAGAGAGTTTTTTTCGTAATTTGACTATCTCAGGGGGTGGCAGTAATTTGCCCCATAATTATTATTAGACTCGCGTTAAATTGGTCTCATAAATTAATGCAGATTGACGTGACGAAGAACATGGAAGAAGGAGAAAAAAGACTCAATCAACTCTCGATCGAAGAACGTGGTAAGTTTGACGAGGAGACGCTTGTCAACTTCAACAACATGAAGAAGCAAAGCTCAACAATCCGTAGACCAATTGACTTCAGAAACGAGCATATAGTCGTAAGTCTTCAAAACTCGGTTTTACGATACGTTGTCAAAATAATGTTCCTTAATATTTCTCTCATGCGAATTTATTTACGATACTTGCCCTTGTTATTACATGAACTATATATATATCTATTTACTATGTAAACATCTCAGGTAACTATCTTGTTAGCTGCTGAAGAAAAACTAAAGTTGCCTTGTATAAATAACAGTAAAGATTTGAAAGAAGCTTTACAAAAGCTGGCATCCATACCATCAACTACAACTAAGGTAAAAAAAAAAAAAAAAAAAAAGAAAAAAAAAAAAAGCATGGTACATCTTCACTCGAAAATGGCTGATCTATTTTATTTTTTAAATTTATTTACATCCTCTTTAATTGTCTCTCGATCTGCGTGTGTCCTGAATGCAGGCAGTCGAGGTACTGTGGACCCCACAAGATGAATACGATACTTTATCAGAAGAGGAAATGCTTCGTGATTACCCTTTATTACGGACTTTTTAACAATGTAACATTTGATACATATTACTTGTGGAACCACTTTCACTATTAGTTCATGTAAAAAAGTTAGGGTAAATAGCACTTAACCCCCCGTGATTACAAGCTTTTGCAGATGATCCCCTTGTGCTCGTAATATCATGCACATAAACCCCTTCTGGTCTATGGGGTAGCTTCCATTAGTTTGGGCGTCAAACTTAACCACTTAACGGGAGGGTTCAAACTTCAAAGGGGTCATCTGCAAAAGTTTGTACCACAGAAGGGTTAAGTGTTATTATCCAAAAAGTTATATGTTTCTAGTTTATGTAAAAAAGAAAACCTGATTAATGTTGCACGAATACAAAGACAATTGATTCAGTAACTATTGTTGAAATATTACAGTTTACGATTCGAAGTCTTTTTACATCTTTTTATTCAATCTTTAAATGAATCTTAAATGTAAAAAATAGTTACATTGAATCGGTTAAATTTTACGATTTACTATTTGATTCGTATGATTTATATAATGCTCAATCTAGAAATCCAATTTCAAGAAGTGTTTGAAATATACTATTTATTACATGGTTCGGTTCATCAAAAGTTTAATTATGATAGGATTAAGACCAACTAATTCGAAATATAAACCTTTTTGTGCGAGATGCTTACTAATATAAATCGGGGAACTGAAAACGTCGAGAATGTGATTTTAACTTATGGTGGGGTGATTTACAATTTCAAAGTGGGGAATGTGTGGATCCGGAGGAGGAAGCATTCGACGAAATTAGGTGATACAAATTTTGTAAAATTTGTACGAGATCCAATACATATTTGCCGAAGCAAAACAACAAGCGTCTAAAACACATGGTTCAATTTGACAGAAGAACACGGAATTTCGACTGCACTAGCGAAAATAATTAAAAATCAACATTATCAAATTGAATTTCGACTGCATAGCGAAAATAATTAAAAATCAACATTATCAAATTGAAATACTGACCCGTGATTATAGATAAACCAGAAAACAATAAGAAAGTTACAATTATCCACTTGTAAAATCCGGGTGTTTGTTGTAGAACAACAAATGTGAATTCATTTACAAAAAACTCAAGTTATTGTAAAAAATATACAATATATATTTAAAGTTATTGTAACAAAAAAAACTTAGTTATGATTTAGATTCAAGGGACATAAAATTTTCATATTTAACTTTTTTTTTTTAATATTATAAATAATAGTCAGAATTCAACTTGAAGTTAGAAATCATGCAGATGTCGTGAATCATACTAATTTGAAAAGAAAAAACACTTCAATTTAACCACACCTTTTTCATCCGAACTTCAATTATGTTGATTCAAATTTTCATTAGAAAAACAACTAATGAGTCTACAAGTTTGTGTTCATAGTGTTTTGGTATTTGAATTGGATCATATAAAAAATAAAACTTAAACTCAAAATTATGTACAAATCATAATTTGTGCTATTTCCAAAGACTTTTATTTTGACCACAATGTTTCCATATGAACTAGAATGTATTGATTCAAGTTGTTTTGGTACAAAGTTGTTTTGACCAACTAATAGAGTTACCATTTTCATGTTTAGTAATTTTCAAAAATTGGATCGAATCGGATCGGATCAGATCGGATAGTAATCAAATTATTGGAAACTTTTAGCTAAAAGCAATGCGAGAGTATTTTGTTAAAGAAAGGTTTGAAAAATGGCTTTGTCAACCAATATAGGAAGTGACCTTATTTATAAGGAAGAAAAATAAATTGATAGAGTACCTTTACCTAATTATGCCTTTGAAAAAAAAAATATTTTACAAAAATGAAATTCTAGATCTCATAGTGAAACCATTTGGTGGATGCTTTATTTAGGGCATGTTTGGTTTAAAATTATTTTAAACAGTTGATAAGCTCTGACATTTGATAAGTTATTTTAAGAGGTGAGATAACCTATTATATTTTGTTTATATAATTAATCTTTAAAGTGTTTGGATAGTAGAGTTTTGAGCTATTTTTACTCATTATAAGATCTCAAATTGAAATGTGGGATATAAATACTTTTTGAAAATAAATAAATTAAAAGCTCTCTAAGAACTTATTATTTTTAATTTTTAAGATCTTTCTTACAAAAATTATCAAACACTTTGAAAGTACTTATAAATTCTTAAACATTTTATAAGCTCCTGTTTGGCTAAGCTTATAAGCTGTAAAAATGAGCTTATAAAATATTTACACTTTTGAAGAGTTAAAGGTAAATTTCACTTTCCACTCTTATACTTTGGCTCGATATCACTTTACCCCATTCTACTCTTAATTACATCGATTTGCCCCAATGTACTTGAAAAATTGTCTCAATGTGGCCATCGCCGTTAGTTTTTAGACATTTAACATTAACACCGTTTGATCTAAGTCTGAAAATTACAAAAAATCACCCCTCCTAGTTTAAATAATTATTAATAAAAATTAAAAATAAAAAAATTAAAAAAATTAAAATAAATTGTGGATGTCGTCGTAGACTATGCTTTCTCGTTGTCTTGAATTGTTTATTATTATTTTTTTTTCTAATTTTTTTTTTGTTATTTAATAATTATTTAAACTAGGAGGGGTGGTATTTTTGTAATTGCAGAGCTTAGACCAAACGATGTTAATGTCAAATGTTTGACAACTAACAACGAGGGCCACATTGAGACAATTTTTCAAGTACAGGGGGTGGAAATTGATGCAATTGAAAGTAAAATGGGGTCAAGTGATATCGAACCAAAGTACAAGGCGGGAAAGCAGAATTTACCCAAAAAATAATTCTAAAAATAAAATGTAACAACTTATCAGTTCTTAAAACATACATAATAGCTTATCAACTGCTTAAAATAACCTTAGCCAAATGGGGCCTTAGTGTCTAGATTTAATTTCAAAATATAAATAGTTTTTTTCTCAAAAAAAATGTAGAAATAGGATTTTTATGGGTTTAATTATTATTTATTAGAATTAATAATAGATTAAGGTGGTGTTTGCAAATGCTTTTTGAAAGTGATTATGCGGTTGTTTTTGCTCATAATCTATTTTTAGGTGTTTGGAAAATCAACTTTTGCTTTTGCTTTTCTTAAAATAATCTGCTTTAAGCTATTTTTTTAAAAGCACCCCTAATCCTGCTTTTTCAATTTTAGTTCATTTTCCGAAATATTTGCAAACACCCCAAACTTTTAGAAATAAGCACTTAAAACTAACTTAAATCACAATCACTAACTTCTGCTTTTAAATAATCATTTGCAAACACCACCTAACACAATCAAGATCTAAATGGAAAATTAAAAGCTCTCCTCCGCGCGTTAGTAACATTCGACCGAGTCTTCTCTCTCTCTTCTGCGCGCATCTCTCTCTCTCTCTCTCTCTCTCTTTCTCTCTCTAGCCATCACATCACAACTACTGGCTGGTTCAGCCCGGCCTCGGAT